GCTTATTTCACTTAACATAATTCCCTCAAGGTCCATCCACATTGTTGCAAATGGGACGATTTTGTTCTTTTTTACGGCTGAGTAGTATTCCATTGTATATATGTACCACATCTTCTTTATCCAATCATCAGTTGATGGGCACTTAGGTTGCTTCCATGTCTTGGCTATTGTAAATAATGCTGCAATGAACATAGCAGTGCATGGGACTTTTGGAATTGCTGATTTCAAGCTCTTTGGATAAATACCCAGTAGTGGGATAGCTGGGTCGTATGGTAGTTCTATTTTTAATTTTTTGAGGAATCTCCATACTGTTTTCCATAGTGGCTGCACCAGTTTGCATTCCCACCAGCAGTGTATGAGGGTTCCTTTTTCTCCACAACCTCTCCAACATTTGTTACTATTTGTTTTAGTTATTTTTGTCATTCTCATGGGTGTAAGGCAGTATCTTAGTGTAGTTTTGATTTGCATTTCCCTAATGATCAGTGATGATGAACATCTTTTCATGTGCCTATTGGCCATCCATATATCTTCTTTGGAGAAATGTCTGTTCATGTCTCCTGCCCATTTTTTGATTGGGTTGTTTGATTTTTTTGTTGTTGAGTTGTGTGAGTTCTTTATATATTATGGATATTAAGCCTTTGTCAGATGTATGACTTGCAAATATTTTTTCCAAGTTAGTGGGTTGTTTTTTTGTTTCAATCCTGTTTTCCTTTGCCTTGAAGAAGCTCTTTAGTCTGATGAAGTCCCATTTGTTTATTCTTTCTATTGTTTCCTTTGTCTGAGAAGACATGGTGTCTGAAAAGATCCTTTTAATACTGATGTCAAAGAGTGTACTGCCTACATTTTCTTCTAGAAGCCTTATGGTTTCAGGTCTCACCTTTAGGTCTTTGATCCATTTTGAGTTTATTTTGGTGAATGGTGAAAAAGAATGGTCAATTTTCATTCTTTTACATGTGGCTTTCCAGTTTTCCCAGCACCATTTGTTGAAAAGACTTTCTTTTCTCCATTGTAGGCCCTCAGCTCCTTTGTTGAAGATAAGCTGTCCATAGATGTGTGGTTTTATCTGTAGGCTTTCAATTCTGTTCCATTGATCTGTGCACCTGTTTTTGTACCAGTACCATGCTGTTTTGATTACTGTAGCTTTGTAGTATGTTTTAAAGTCAGGGATTGTGATGCCTCCTGTTTTGTTCTTTTTTCTCAGGATTGCTTTAGAAATTCAGGGTCTTTTGTTGCCCCATATGAATTTTAGGATTCTTTGTTCTAATTCTGTAAAGAATGTCATTGGGATTCTTATTGGGATTGTGTTGAATCTGTAGATTGCTTTAGGTAGAATGGACATTTTAACTATGTTTATTCTTCCAATCTATGTACATGAAATGTCTTTCCATCTCTTTATGTCATCATCCATTTCTTTCAGAAAAGCTTTGTAATTTTCATTGTATAGATCTTTCACTTCTTTAGTTAAATTCACCCTGAGGTATTTTATTCTTTTCGTTGTGATTGTGAATGGTATTGTGTTCTTGAGTTCTTTTTCTGTTAGTTTATTATTAGAGTATAGAAATGCTACTGATTTATGCAAATTGATTTTATACCCTGCAACTTTGCTGTAGTTGTTGATTACTTCTAAAAGATTTCCAATGGATTCTTTGGGGTTTTCTATATATAAGGTCATGTCGTCTGCAAACAGTGAGAGTTTCACTTCTTCCCTTCCTATTTGGAGTCCTTTTATTCCTTTTTCTTGCCTGATTGCTCTGGCCAAAACCTCCAGTACTATGTTGAATAAGAGTGGTGATAGAGGGCATCCTTGTCTCATTCCTGTTTTCAGGGGGATGGTGCTCAGTTTTTGCCCAGTGAGTATGATGTTGGCTGTGGGTTTGTCATATATGGCCTTTATTATGTTGAGGTAGTTCCCTTCTATCCCCATTTTGTTCAGAGTTTTTATCATAAATGGCTGTTGGATCTTGTCAAATGCTTTCTCTGCATCTGTTGAGATACCGTGTGTTTTTTATTCCTCAGTTTGTTGATGTGGTGTATCACAGTGATTGATTTGCGGATGTTGAACCATCCCTGTGTCCCTGGTATGAATCCCACTTGATCATGATGTATAATCCTTTCAATGACTTGCTGAATTCAGGTTGCCAAAATTTTGTTGATTTCTGCAATTTCTTATGCTGGGTTTCTTAGATTTTTCCTTATTTATGTTTTGTGTCTCTCTTCTGTTTTTTAGTTTAGTGGCTACCCTGAAGTTTGTATTCAGAATCTCGTGCATAACATAGTCCATTTTCATGGGGTCTCTTACTTCCTTAGCCTAGACTGATTCAATCCCTTTCCTCCTCCCCTCCTAAATTATTATTTTCATCTCTTATTCCAACTTGTGCTGTGAATTTGTGATTAGAGTGATAAGATTGTCTTTGCTTTGGTGATTTCCTTCCCTTTATCCTAATGTTATAGTTGAATATTTGCTATCCTATTCTGATTCTATCTGTCTCCCTACTCTGTGTTTTGTGAACCCTTTCTCCATTTCTTTTCTTTTCTCAGGTATGAGGGCCTTCTTGAGGATTTCTTGTAGTGAAGGTCTTGTGGCTACGAAGTCCCTTAGCTTTTGTTTGTCTGGAAAAGCTTTAACTTCTCCCTCATATCTGAAGGATATTTTTGCTGGATAGAGTATTGTTGGCTGAAGATTTTCATCCTTTAAAGTTTTGAATATGTCATTCCAATCTCTCCTAGCTTGTAAGGTTTCTGTAGAGAAATCTGCTGAAAGTCTGATAGGAGTTCCTTTGTAGGTTATTTTCTTTTACCTTGCTGCCCTGAGTATTCTTTCTTTGTCATTCATTTTTGTCATTTTTAGTACTATATGCCTTGCAGTAGGTCTTTTTACATTGACAAATCTAGATCTGAAAGCTTCCTCCACACACATTTCTCTCTCAATCCCTAGATTTGGGAAATTCTCTTCTATTATTTTGTTGAGCACACTTTCTGCTCCATTTTCCTTTTCCACGCCCTCAGGAATTCCAATGATTCTTAAGTTGTATTTTCCCATTGAGTCGGCTATTTCTCTGAGATTTTCTTCAGTTTTTTAAATTCTTAGTTCTCTTTCTTCCTCTGTCTGGAGCCATTCAGCCTGTCTATCTTCGATTATGCTAATTTGCTCCTCTATGGTGTCTACATGGGCATTCAGGGAATCCATATTCTATTTATCTGATCCATTGTATTTTTCATCTCTAGTATTTCTGATTGATTCTTCTTTATAGTTTCAATCTCTTTTGTGAAGTAACTCCAGAACTCGTTGACTTGTTTCTCTATATTTCCCTTTACCTCATTGAGTTTTTTGATGATAGCTATTCTGAACTCATTTTCACTTAGTTTACCTATTTCCAAGTCCTCAGGACATACTTCTGTGTTTTTATTGTTTTCCTTTTGGTCTGGAGCTTTTATAAATTGCTGGATGGTAGAGGAGCAGTTTTTGCGCATGATGCTATTATTCGGTTGCAGTTACAGCTAGTCGCCACTAGATGGACATGGAGAGCCACGCATTCTGAGCCCTGCGCCATCAGCCATGATGGCGGCGTGCAGAGTGGGTTGAGGGAGGAGGGGCACTTTCTGTCTCATGCAAACCTGGATTCCGATCAGCTCTGCTCTCTGGTTTCCTGGGGCCCTGGCTTGATGGGGTGCCCCCACGGGAAAGCTTTCCCCCCTTACAGCGTTTCATGTGCATGGGTCTGTGGGAGTCCTGGACTGTTCCCCCGTGGCACGGCCCCTCCCCCACTCCTTCCCTCACCTGCCACAGCGATCCCAGCCTCTAGGGGCGGGAGCGAAGTTCCCTCCCACCCCGTTCCAGCTCCTCTGAGGGGCGCTGCAGCCTCTCCACCCTCCATTGTTTGGCTGCTGTGGATCTCTGACGGTTTCTGTGTTATCAGGATTTTTTTTGGTTGGAAAGTAGTTGCTCCTTTTGGTTGTAATTTGAAGGGGAGAGAGTCCTGGGAGAGCTTACGCTGCCATGTCACTGACGTCCTGGGAAGTTTTTAAAACTTTTTCATGTTGTTGGAGGGAGGGGGCTTGTTATAAGGTTACATTTTGATCGCAGTGTCAAGAGTATATGATCTGGGGCCGGCCAGTGGCCAAGTGGTTGGGTTTGCGTGCTCGGCTGTGGTGGCCCAGGGTTTCCCGGGTTCAGATCCTGGGCGGGAACATGGCACTGCTCATCAAGCCACACTGAGGCAGTGTCCCACGTGCCACAATTAGAAGGGCGCACAACTAAAAATGTACAGCTGTGTACTGGGGGGGTTTGGGGAGAAAAAGGAAAAACAAAATCTTTAAAAAAAAAAAAGAGTATACGATCTGAACAATTTCTACTTTATTATAGTTTTCTTCGTGTCCAAATATGTGGCCAATTTTTGTAAATGTTCCTGAAACTCTTTAACAGAATATGAATTCTATCATTCACTTGCTTTACTGCTTTATATATTTTTTGAGACTTGATCTCTTAAAGACTGAGATGTTAGAATGTGAGGTGTTAAATATGAGAATGTTAGAAACTATGACTATCTTTGCATTTCTAATCCTTCTCCTTTCATATCCTGCCATTCTCTGCTCAGTGTGCTTTAATGCGATTATTTAGTGGATAAAGTTCATGACCACTACCTCTGTTTTGTGGATCATGCACTTGCTCATTATAAGTGATCATTTCTGTCCTATTTAATACTTTTTTTTGTCTTTAATTCAACTATCTGACATTAATATTGCAAACCTTGCTCTCCTTTTTTTTCTCTTGGGATGTTTTTGCCCATTCTTTTATTTGTGACTTTTCTGAGTCTTTTTGTTGCAATGTGATTCTTTACTGTTTTATTTATCAAATCAATTTTAGTAAATAGGATAAGATATAGGTTTAACTTATATTTTCCCTCAACTTAGTATTTCCGTATGTATGACACAATCAAGTAATTTATTCCATAATCAAGAAAAAAGATTTTAACAGAATTTGCTCTTTTGTGTCCCAACAGCTCTAGATTTCCATGGCTCCTCAAGTTGTCAGTCTTAATCGCAGGACTTGGCATTGTTTTATTTACATTCAGAAGTGTGCCCCTTCTCGCACAGTTCAATAGCCTCATACCAGGGCTCCCACGTCCTGCTCCAGCCATCCAGATGCTGAGGCTTCTGCCTGAGGAACGTCTCAGGAACCTCTTTACCTACAATGGAATCTGGTGAGATAGCAATGTCCCCTCTCTTCCCCTTGGTCCAACACCTCCCTTGCTCCTCCTGTGGTTTACTCTGCCCTGTTGAGCCCATTTTCCTGATGGCTTCCTACCTTCCTGAACCTGTACTGGTTGCTAAAGTAATTCCAAACTGTGGGACCAGGAGAGGACTTGGTCTGCAGGCCACAGGCTCTCTTCTCTACAGCACCCGGCAAAGTCCCTTAAAACTCTGGAGGGCCTGTTTCACCAAAACTATAGGAAAGATGCTGCCTTTCTGGCCCACTCGCCTCCTCTTCTGGTGGGGCTGAGATGCCACTGACATTCGTACAACTCTCAAGTTTAAAGAATTTTGGTGCAGGAGATAATTCAAGAGAGGGGACCTTCTTCCCCTCCTCCCTTCCCTCCCCTCTCTGTGTCTCTGAGGGGCCGCTGCTAGGATTCCAGGGTCTCAGCCCAGCTGGGACAGCCAGGTACAGGAAGGGGGAGTCTCAGGGTGAATGACACACTGGATTGACCTCAGGTTCTCTCCCCACCAGCCCGCCCACCCATCCATGTTCACAGTCCTCTTGTTTGTTCTAGGCTGTTCCCGAAAAATCAGTGCAAATGTGAAGTCACCAAACCTCAGGGCTATGACTTTCAGAGTGCCTATGACCAGAGTGACCTCCCTGCGGTGAATGCGAGGAGACAGGCTGAATTTGAACACTTTCAGAGGAGGTAATGCAGACTGTGAGGGCTCTTGGGTCCCGAGGTGAGCAAAAGCTCTCTACTCTGCCCGGAGGGCACGGGTGGGAGAGAAAAGGAAGGAACTTTCTCTTTTGCAGGGGTCCCTGGGAGGAACTATTAGGAATAAACCAAGGAAAGAGAACTGAGGAAACAATCCTTAAATGAAGGTTTATAAAACTTGGCACGTCTACAACATTTCCTAATAAAACAGGAGCAAAGGAAGGAAGATAGTTTGAAACGTCCGTGTGGTGATGGTGGCACCACGATGGCAGGTGACAGTGTAGTCTCACCAAGTTGCACCATCTACGTCATTTATATGTTGAGAACATACTGTCCCCCTGTGATGTGCAAGGCCCGGGGTTAAACCCTCGGGGTGTATTGACTAGGACTGTTGGTTGAAAAGAGCAGAAATTGATTCTGGTTGGCTTATGTCAAGAGGGAATTTGTGGGAAGGATGTTGGGATCTCACCAGATCTACTGGTGGTAAGATGACCTGGCTGGGAAATCGAGAACCAAGGGTTGGGGCCGGCTCTGTGGCCGAGTGGTTAAGTTCACGTGCTCCGCTTCAGTGACCCAGGGTTTTCCCCGTTCGGATCCTAGGCACTGACATGGCACTGCTCATCAGGCCACGCTGAGGCGGTGTCTCACACAGCACAACTAGAAAAGGACCTAAAACTGGAATATACAACTATGCACAGGGGGTCTTTGGGGAGAAGAAGAAGGAAAAAAAAGATTGGCAACAGATGCTAGCTCAGGTGCCAATCTAAAAAAAAAAACCAAGGGAGCACAGAAGAGCAGGCCCTTCCATTTTTTTTTTTTTTTTTTTTTTAGCAATCATTTATGAGTTACAGTGGAAGGCGTGCTACAAATTAAAAAAAGTTGCACTGTGATTAAGGACTTGAACTCTAGAAGAGCCTGGATGGCAAACTGCTTAACCCCACAGTACTTGAGTATCTTCATATGAAAAACTGTAATAGAGATGCCTCCTTCATAGGCTTACTGTAAGGTGCATTGTGTTAACATACAAAGAGCTAGTAACTCATAAGGGGACCGACGTGGAGAAGCTCTGCAGAAATATTACCTACTATTATCGTTGTGGTTTATTATTAATATTATCATTCTTCTAGTTCCTCCAGGCAATACGTAATACATTAAGAGATACACAAATCACCTAAATATCTGATTATTGTAAGTGCTATTTGGAGATGTAAATTAAAATATTGTGGTGGAATGCTACCTGATGGCATAAAATTTCATGGGATGATGTTGGAAGGTGACCTTGAACTCTGCTTTGTATATCAAGCAGGAGTCCACCACGATCCCCCATGAAAGAGCATCCCAGAAGGAAGACTAACGTAGGGCCCAGAGTCAGGGTGGGCCTGTCGAGATGGCTGCATGACAAGCAAGCGGGCCCTGGCTCTGGGAGCCTAGTAAGTTGGGGGAAGGCTGATGGTATGTGAGCCCAGAGAGAGGCCAGTCATGACAGCCGTTGTAAGCCAAGAGGAGGAGTGTGTATTTTGCTTTCTGGGTAATGCAAAGAATTGAACAGTTTTAAAAAGTGGCAAGTTATCATCTGAGATACTTTTGTAAAATATCACTCTGGCTTTTCTGTGGAGACTACGTGGTAGGGAAGGTATAGGGAAGACCAGAAACCTGCTGAGTATCGGGTGGAAGGTAAACATTCCTTCTATGCTGGAGCAGATGTTGTCTGTGCCTGTGTGATGAACAGTCCCGGGTCACTGCCTTGCTGCTCGGTTGACTGAGCCTAAGGCATGAAACAGGGAAGAGGAAGGGTGAGTCAGGCCCCTCCATGGTTAATTTCAGGAATCAGCTACTACCCCCTAAGCTGCATACAAATGAAAGGCTCCCCAGAAAAGAGAACACAGGAAGGAGTATTGAAAATCTGAAAGCTGGTAGAATACATAGATGATTCTGGCATGGATTTGAACCCTGGTGCCACCCAGCTGTGCGAGGAACAATAGGGCTCAGGAGTTAGTGCTCAGGTGTGCACATTGCAGGAGGTGCATGGTGGGGGAAGGGAGAACAGGAGATTGGAGGGGGTGAGATGGAGCACACAGGGAGGGATAAGAGGACATGAGGTGGGTGACTGTTGGGAGGAGTACTGATCTGGAGGGAGCTGGGGAGAAGGAATTATAAGAAGGAACTAACTGCGAACATGGAAGGCCAAGGAGCTGGCCGTGTTCTCACCTGCTCCCTCCTTCCCCTGTGGAATTGCCCAGCTCTTTTAGGATTTACCTGGCAATACAGTTATGAACAAAAACAGAGCCCAGTGGTAACTACTGATGTGAACCAGGTCTCCTGCCAATAAGGAAGTGGCTGAGTAGGGACACACCCGGGTCCTACCAGGGCCACAAATCTTTGTCAATTAGCTAATGAAACACACTGAACACCAGCTTTGAGCAAGGCGCTGAGTTAGGTACAAAGATAAATGTGACCTAGATCCTGCTGTCAATGAGTTTACGATATGACAGAGAGGAGACAATCAGTGTGCCCTCCCCCAGGTGGCGTCCGTTCTCCGCATCTGTCTCCGTGTGCCGCCATCATTACGGATGCTGGAACCGGTGTTGAGTGAATGTGGGTGGTGAGGCCCATAGAATGTATTCAGCAAACTGTGTAGAACTCAAGGGTTCAATTCAAAGCTCAAGATTATAACAGCAGTCAGAGAGAGTGAAATGGTCGTTCTTAGGAGGGAGAGCAGCTTCCAGCTCTGAGAACTGAAAAAAGGAAGTTGAGAAGAAGGTGACCTTCAGAGCTGGCCTCATATCTGTTACTGAGCAGATGACCCAGTGTGCTAGTTGTTGGTATCTGGTCTGGGTTCTCCTCCTTCCAGGAATGGGGCTTTACTTTCCTATTATCCCCAGTTTAGTGCAGGGCGTGGCAGTCAAGAAATGAGTGAATAATGGGACGTGAAGTCATGTGTGGCTCTGAGCAGAGCTCTGGATGGGAGTCACTTCCTGAAGAAAAGGGAGCAATTCAGACGACAATGCTTCAGGCGTTCAAAAGAATGAAGTAGATCTAGATATACCAGGAGGGAAGGAGTTCTACTATCTATTATGTTGAAAGAGCAAGGTGTGGTATGCGACCATGCATGTTTTTAACAGGGGAGGGAATGTGTGTGTAGGAGTGTTTGCGTGTGTTGGGGGAGAGGTATGAATAGTGGTGGTAAGTGTTTAACAATGGACTTTTGACAGTGGCCTGTAGTGTTTGCTGGTTTCTGTGGTTTAATAATCATACTGTGGTTGATTTCAAGCTACCAACGTGACATCATGAACGCAGAGTTGGGAAGAGCTTCTCAGTAGGTCACCATGACACAGTATCTCTACCACGCAGATGCAATAAATAACCTCAAGAGCAGGGGTAATAGTAAAATGTAAAGTAATTAGGAAGTGATGGGTTTTGAGTGTTTATTACCTTTGTTTTCATTATACTTAAGTGTATATAATTTAATTTTTATTAATGGCTATGTTTAATGGCTGGCTTGAAAAATTCTGAAAATTCAACAATTGACTCTCTTGATATATATATCAAGGCCTCTTGATGGGAGCAAGTGGGCAGGATTTTGCCTTACAAGCCCCTTTCACACAAAGCATCCACGCTTACCAATGGACAGTGGGCTGGGCAAGTCACTGAGGTACCACCTTTCAGTGGCTGACATACTGGCCATCAATTTAGGGGTATCCAAGAGGCTCCAGCTCTGGGATAAGTTTTCTGCCATTCAGTCCCCCATGTTTAGGAAGGAAGTTCTTGCTTTGGGCTCACGGTGTCTTTCTTCTCACCCCAACCTTTCAAGCGCTCAAGGTCTTCATATTTTCCCCCCTAGTCTGAGGGACACCCCCCAGTTTTAATTACACCCTGAATAAACTACACTCAGATGCAAAAACTCCATCTGCAGGCTCACCCTAATCCTTTGCACACTGCTGACAGTCCAGTGGCTTCTTGCTGGGGTGGGGTGGGTCTGGAGCTTGTAGGTTGGATAAGACTCAGTTTACCTGAGTTTTTACCTGGCAATACAGGTGTAAGCCAAGCTCTCACAGCCTGGATGCTGCATCCCTAATAAATATCATCAGAGGGGACCAGCTGGCTCTTGGGCCAGGAGGCTGGACACTGACACTCTCAGTGGCTGCCCATGTCCCTGCCCCACATTCTCCCAGCCCTGTTCTTAGCAAAACACACCAGTCAACAAGGATTGTTTCCACATTCTCTGTCCCACACACTCTCTTCCTCCGAGCTTCATTTAGCATCTTCAGGCTGGAAACTCTCCACCCTTAGCTCAGCAAGTACCAACTTGACTGGCGGGGATCAGTGGTTCCCAAAGTGTTTCTGTCTCAGCACACCTGGGGGAATGGGGCCCGCTACAACTTCTTGGTAATAGCAAGTAGTGGTTCTTCTGGGAGTGATGGGAGGTGGGGCTGGGTAGTAGACAGGATTGTGTAGTTTGAGAAAGCCCTTCCAGCAAGCCTGTTACTTCCCTGTCTCCACTCCACTAGGTTGACAATCCCTGCCTTGTATTAATTTCCAGAACTTGTTGCTCCTAAATGCTAGCTAAGCTGTGTACCTTGACACTCTCATCTGACTGGTGGCTCCTGAGGGTGGAACTGTGTCGTTCTCCCATCAGCCCAAGGGCTCTGTGAGAGCTAAGCTGTCCTCCATCGGACTGCAAAGCTCATGATACTGGGGCTCTGTCTCCTCCCTTAGATTAGGGATTACCTGCAAGCTGACGCTGCTCTTAGCAGGATGTCTCCAGCCAAAGAGATCACGTATAGTAAATAACCCAGAATCTTTGGCTCCCTCGTGAATATCTCATAAGCAGTACAACTCTCTGGGGGTATGAATGGAGGTGCTTCATAACTTACGTGCTTCCTGCCATGTGAGGGAATCCAGCAAAACCTCGTTTGGAGATCACGTCTGGTATCCTCTGCCAGAGAGCCCATGTCTGATGTGGGAAGGCATTACCGGGGATAGGGGGCGGGATCCATCCAGGATGCCTATGGCCTCTGTGCTCTGTCTGTGCCTCTTAATTGTCTGTATCCATGAAATTATTAGTGGAGCTTGATACTGGGTGGATCTCTGATTCACGTGAGTCCGATTGGTTGGTCTGATCCTGTGTGTTAGCTCCACATTAGACTTCAGTTAAGAAGTAGTACATAGATAATGCTCCTTAAAAAAGTCCACTTGAACCAACCCCTTACCCCCATTCTCTTCCCTTCCTTATATGATACGCTCCCTTGCCAACCCAGCTGAGGAATCCACCATTGTGAGTTTGGTATATATTATTCCACACTATTTTTTATGCTGTTACACACACAGATGAACACACATAATCACAGACATATTATGTGCATATATATCCTTATAAACATATACTTGGGGTTTTGTGTGTATGTTTTTAGTGTAATTGGCACCATAAGAAATTACACTTTACAAGTTACAGATTACTGATATTTGCTTTTTTCATTCAATGATATATTTTTAAGAGCTAGCTATACATCTAGTTCATTCCTTTCAATTGTTGCACAGGTATGAATATGAAGACTGAATTTTATTAAGCTATTCTTCTATTGAAAGACATTCAAACTAAAAAAATCTTTCATTATGACATTTGCATAATTTATAATAACAATATTACATTCTATTTTTAAAAAGATTTTATTTTTCCTTTTTCTCCTCAAAGCCCCCTGGTACATAGTTGTATATTTTTAGTTGTGGGTTCTTCTAGTTGTGGCATGTGGGACACCGCCTCAGCATGGCCTGATGAGCAGTGCCATGTCCGTGCCCAGGTTCCAAACCGGCAAAACCCTGGGCCGCTGCAGCGGAGCGTGCAAACTTAACCACTCGGCCACAGGGCCAGCCCCTATATTTACATTCTTATTTCATTAAGATGTGTATAAGGATGCTCATTGCAAACAGTGCTGAGATGAACCTCTTTATGCCTGTCATGTTGTTTACACATGAAAGCGTTTCTCCCCTTCCTAGCATCTGAATTGCTCCAGCATAGAATATGCTTACTTCTACTTTTAATAAATACTGCCAAATGGCCCTCAAGAGGGCCTATATTAATTCACACTTTCATGAAGAGTGGGTCAGTGTGGTTAGTACCTTCCATGCCCCCTACCTAACCAACTTGCTAGCATCAAATTTTAAAACTTCAATGAAAAAGGTGTTTCATTGGGGTTTTTTTTGGGGTGTTTTGGAGGAAGATTAGCCCTGAGCTAACCTCTGCCGCATCAAATTTTAAAACTTCAATGAAAAAGGTGTTTCATTGGGGGTTTTTTTTTTGGGTTTTTTTGAGGAAGATTAGCCCTGAGCTAACCTCTGCTGCCAATCCTCCGCTTTTTTCTGAGGAAGACTGGCCCTGAGCTAACATCTGTGCCCATCTTCCTCCACTTTATATGTGGGATGCCTACCCCAGCATGGCTTGCCAAGCGGTGCCATGTCCACACCCGTGATCCGAACCAGTGAACCCTGGGCCACCGAAGTGGAACGTGCGAACTTAACGGCTGTGCCATTGGGCTGGCCCCTATTTCATTGTTTTTAAAGTTGCATTTCCCTGATTAATATTGAAGCTAAGCATATTTCTTTTTATTTTTTTTTATTGAGGTAGCATTGGTTTATAACATTATATAAATTTTGGGTATACGTCATCATATTTCAATTTCTGTGTAGATTACGTCATGTTCACTATCCAAAGACTAATAACCATCCATCACCGTGAACGTGTCCCCTATCACCCCTTTGTCCCTCCTCCCTCCCCCACTTCCCCTCTGGTAATCACCAATCTGTTCTCTGTATCTATGTGTGTGTTTGTTGTTTTTTCTTCCACATATGAATGAAATCATACAGTATTTGACTTTCTCCGTCTGACTTATTTCACTTAGCATTTTATCTTCAAGGTGCATCCATGTTGTCGCAAACGGCAAGATTTCATCTTTTTTATCGCTGAGTAGTATTCCATTGTGTATATGAGCATGTTTAATATTTTATTAGCAGTTTGTATTTTCTCTTTTAATTGCCTATTCATGTCCTTTTGCAGTTTTAAATTTTGTCATTTCATATTCCCATAAATATTCGCTGTAGTAGTCTAACCTTTCTTCCAAGTAATCTAAATGATATCCTTGGTTAAACCGGATCCCTGAAGGCTGCATTTCAGCCATACACCTTAGTCCGTCAAAGAATTGATCTCATTGGGTTGGGTTATGCACTGCCTCTGATGGAAGGTATCAGTGACCTTCCTGTTGCTACAACAGCAAAACCATATGAAAATCACCACTGTGTTTGTGTCTAAAACTATCAAGACAACAACCACTCCCCAAAAAAGTTTCTTGTGACATATGCTACTTTTCAATTCAGTGCCAGGAGAAGTTTTACTTCCTTCAGGACCTGGTCTACCTTGTCCTTTTGATAATAAGACCAGGGCACTGTTGTCAGTCACTCTGTGCTGGCCGCCAGGACCTTCAGATGCGACTCTGACATTCAGCTCCTGCAGCTGGGTTGGCCCATCGGTGTGATCATTTTGTTTTTTCTTTTTTGCTGGTCATGTTTTTATTTTTTTTTATGTGCTTTGTTGTAAACTGCCTCAGTTCTTTTGTGGAATTAGAGGCTAGGAGGAGGGGTAGGAATAAAAGAGAGGAATGAGAATGGAGGGGAGAAAAGGACAATCTACTTTCTTTTTTTTTTTTAAATTGAGGTATAATTGACTCTAACATGTGAGTTTCAGGTGTACAACATAATGATTCAATATTTGTATATATTGTGAAATGATCGCCACAATAGGTCTAGTTAATATCCGTCTCCATACTTAGTTACAGAATCTTTTTTCTTGTGATGAGAACTTTTAAGATTTACTCTCTTAGCTGCTCTCCAATATGCAATACAGTATTATGAACTATAGTCGCCATGCGATATGTTACAGACCAGGACTTATTTATTTTGTAACTGGAAGTTTATACCTTCTAACTTCCTTTACCCATTTTGCCCGCCCCTCACCCCCACCTCTGGCAACCACCAACCTGTTCTCTGTGTCTATGAGCTTGACGGGACAGCCTGCTTTCAGTTTCTCCCCATTGGCAGCACAAGACTCTGGGCACAGGGACCACTTAAGAACTAACTAGGGACGAGCATCAAGGCAGCTGCTAATGCTTCTGTTTCCCTGCAGAGAAGGGCTGCCCCGCCCACCACCCCTACTGGCTCAGCCCAACCTCCCCTTTGGGTACCCGGTCCACGGGGTGGAGGTGATGCCCCTGCACACAGTTCCCATCCCAGGTAGGTACATCCCCCTCCTGAGAGGCCCCGGGCAACTTTCTTATTCTTTCTTTTTTTTTACTTTTTATTGCAGTTATGATAGTTTACAACCTTGTGAAGTTTCAGTTGTACATTATTGTTTTTCAGTCATTTTGTAGGTGCACCACTTCACCCTTTGTGCCCACCCCCCACACCACCTTTCCCCTGGTAACCATTAATCTGTTCTCTTTGTCTACATGTTTAACTTCCACATATGGGTGGAGTCATACAGAGATTGTCTTTCTCTATCTGGCTTATTTCACTTAACATAATACCCTCAAGGTCCATCCATGTTGTTGTGAATGGGACGATTTTATCCTTTTTTATGTCCGAGTAGTATTCCATTGTATATATACCACATCTTCTTTCTCCAATCATCAGTTGATGGGCACTTAGGTTGCTTCCATGTCTTGGCTAATGTAAATAATGCTGCAATGAACATACCGGTGCATGGGACTTTTGGAATTGCTGACTTCAAGCTCTTTGGATAGATAGCCAGTAGTGGGATGGCTGGGTTATATTGTATTTCTATTTTTAATTTTTTGAGAAATCTCCATACTGTTTTTCATAGTGGCTGCACCAGTTTGCATTCCCACCAGCAGCGTATGAGGGTTCCTTTTTCTCCACAACCTCTGCAACATTTTCTTCTTCCTTCTTAATCAAAAAGAGGGAGTGGAAGACAACAGTCATTCATTGAGTACCTGCTGTGTACCCAGCACAAGGCAAGCAGCTTGATGTGATTTCCTTTTACGTTAATCTCACTGTTTCCACCACTGGGAACCGTCCTTGGTAGCTGTGACTTCCCTGGGGCTCGGAGATCACACAGAACAGGACAGAATTCTATGTGCCTCAAGAAGGACACGATTGGCTTTTTGGTGTCCTCTAACAAATGGGAGCAGGCAAAGCATGAGTCCATATTGAAAAGAATGTTTATGTCAGTTAAAACTCCCCTCCTCGAGGGATTTTTACACACTTCTCTAGTTCAGCATCACATCCCTGTGAGGTGAATATTATTTTGCCAATTTCACAGATGAGTTTAATAAGTTCTCTAAGGCCACATGGGGAGGGTATGTTTGAATTAGAATTTCAATTAGTCATATTGCAAGAACAGATATATTCTAAAGTAAATGCATTTGGGATGAATTGAGAGTGGTTTTGAATAGTCATTTTAAAAATGATTTGCCATTTTTGGATGATTCATTTTTTTATTATGGTAAAATATACATAACAAACAATTTACCAATTTTAGCCATTTTTTAAGTGTACAGTTCTGTGGCATTAAGTACATTCACATTGTTCTGCAGCCGTCACCGCTGTCCATCTCTAAAACTTTTTCATCTTCCCAACTGAAACTCTGTACCCATTTAACATTAACTCCCCTCTGCCCTCTGCCCTCTGCCCCTGGCAACCACCATTCTACTTCCTGTCTCTGTGACTATTCTAGGAACTTTGTATACGGATGATTCATTATTTATCCATTGCTTCCTTCCCTTCGTAATGGAGATATGTGGAAGGGACTGGATTAATTCACAATACCCACCCAAAGCTGAGGGTGGGTATCAGAGGCCTTAGAACCACTGGAATTTGAGAAGGACCACGGGACACCATCTAACAAAACCCTAGGGAGAGGGCAGTGGTCAGCAAACACCCTGGAGAGGAGGTGACACTTGAAGGGACTCTGGAAGGATGTGAAGGAATCAGCCAGGAAAGTGGGAGCATCAGAGAGCTCTTGCATCCTCTCAGATGATGCTTTTTGTCCTTTTTTTGTGTGTCCTCTAGGTCTCCAGTTTGAAGGACCCGAAGCCCCCACCTACGAGGCAAGAGTCCCCTTCCCAGCCCCTTTGGCACCTGGCCTCCTCTCCATGGCTCCCTGTCCATGCCCCTTCCCCCAATGGTGACTGGTGTCGGATTTTGACAGAGCCCCCATCCAGATTAAATATCAGACATGGGGCCAAGGTGGGGGGAGGAGAAGGGTGCCTAGAGAAGGCCTGATTTTTCCAGTTATGGGAGTGGCTGGAGTGCCAGGGACGACTTCCAAAGAACTGGGCCACCAAGGGTGCTGCTGCCCGTGCTGCAGGAGGAAGCTGCCGCCACAGCCACGGGCCCTGGGGTGTGTTGCCTGTGTCAGATTTGGCGTCAGCAAGATGGATGCTCTGTGCCCTGCCTTGCTTTCCCCGCTTAACAAAGCTCCAAAGCAAGGTCTTATGCAAGTATATCTGATCGGGGGGGATGCAAATCACATCCAGAATCCTAATTAAAAAGGAGTCAGGGAAATGAAGTTTCTGTTCTCCCCCCTCTGCATGCTAGACAGAAGTGGGAATGAACAAGCCTGCAAAGCTCCTCAATCCTCCAGAGGCCTCTCTGCCCCCTCCCCTGAGTGAAGATCCCTGCCCCGTCACTCCTCGCTACTCTCTTCATAGCACTTGTACCTGAATATCTCATGTGCATCCTGATACACTTATCACCTCTCCTCCCACTAATAGAAGCTTCTCGGAGGCAGGAATTCTGTCCATTCACTACTCTCTTCCCAGTGCCTGTCATTTGCATCTCAGAAAATATCTGTTGACTGACAAAAGCGTATTCAGCAGGGGTGACATAGTCCAGTTTACTTTTCACAAAGATAACTGGCTGTTACAGAAGACAGGAAGACAAGAGAAGAGAGTAGCACTAGGGAGGAGCGATGGGGATGGAGAGAAGTGGGCCAATTCCAGCTACGTTTTGAAGGGAACTGACAGGAGTCACTAATAGATTGGCTGTCCGTGTGAGGGAAAGAGCAGAGCAAGCACGAGTTGCATTTGGGGACGTGAAGAGTTGAGTGGAGGAAGGTGCCATTCTTGAGGCAGGGAGAGCCCGGGAGAGGGTAGAAACAGGTTTAAGGAGAAAAATCAATAGTTTCATTTTGAAGAGATCAGCTTGGGTTGCCTGTGAAACTTCCTAGCAGAGGCTGGATCTCAGAAAGAGATGAGCTGGGTACAAACATTTTTAAACCTACGGCATATGAATGGTTCTTAATGCCGCTTCCTCCAGCGAGGTGTAGAGTAAGAAGGGGAAAGGATGCCGAACCGAACCTTGGAGAACGCCATTTGGAGGTCAGATAGAGGAGAACAAGTTGGCTAACGGAAGTCGAAAGGCGCCGCCAGCGGGAGTGGGAAGAAATCTAGAGGAATGGTATCCTGCAAGCCGAGACCAGAATGTTTCAAGATTTGGCCCTTGAACGCACCAGGCCCCAGGGCTTGCTTGTCCTTGCCGGGGGCAAGAGCAGCAACTTGCTTGGAGCCAGACCCTAGCTTTCAGGGGCACCCCGACACTTTTAATCTCTCACCCTTATGTGCTCTGCCCCCTGCTGGCCATCCTGGGTGAGTCCCTATCCTGGCATTTAGTGTCATTCTGCCTCACCCACCCTAGGTCACCCTGACAGCTTCTCTGGGGACACTGAACACCCTCGCCGATGTCCCAGACAGTGTGGTGCAGGGCAGAGGTCAAAAGCAGCTGAACATTTCGACCAGTTCCCGGGAGCTTTTGAATTTCATCCTCCAGCACGTGACATACACCAGCACCGTGTACCAGAACCACAGAGTGGATGTGGGTGAGAGCCCGTCCCTGGATGGGAGCCAGAAAACACCACTGGGCTCTCTCAAATTCTTCCTCCTCCAGGAAGCCTGCCTGCATTTAGGATTCCTCCCTTGCTCTTGTTTCTGACCCTCTACACCTGACTTCCCAATTACTGTACTCTATACTATCCCCATGTTGCCATTGACTCCATAGAGTGACTGAAAGGAAAGAAGAGGCAAAATGCCTGCTCATCTCTCTGTGAGGACAGATCATTCAGGCTGCATTCCTAGAAACCATCCAATTCTGTTTCCCATGCTCTGCAGCTCTCAAAGCTGAAGACTTCAGCTGTGTTAGAGGAGGGAGCCAGCCTGTGCATCAGCATCTAATCCTGGGCGCTAACAGGGACAGGGATGTGGAGGAACTCCCAGTCCCAAGGGCAGTGGCTCTGTCTGCCTCCTCCCCTCCTAATCCCTACCCCACCCCAGGAATTCCAGGGAGAACAATTCCTGCCACCCTGGAGGAAGCTCCAGTTTCTTCCTGGATGAAATTAAAAGTCACCCTTTCCTCTTTCGATTGGCTACACAGGATGCATTCCCAGGACACCAACAGAAAAAATGAAATATGGGACAGGTTACCCATGACCACCAACTAAAGAGAGAGTTCTCTTCGCGTTCAGATTTTCCAGAATTTCCTTTCACAAAATGACCCTGAGAGGTACAATAGGGCAGGTATTATTAGCCTGGTTTTGTAGCTGGAGAAGAAGATTAAGTGATTTACCTAAGGCAATTCAGATAATAAGTGGCAAAGTCAAAGTTAATCCAGACCCTCTGATTCCAAGCCCACCCCACCCCACACATTCTTACGGGGAAAGAGGTGTTCAGCAGGTCCCCCCAGGGGCACACAGCAAGTCAGGAACCAGAATGCCGTACACTCTAGGGGGTCCTCAACCTCATCCCAGACGGGACATTCTCTACCAAATCTTCACTCCCCCATCACATCGGCTTCCCTGGGGCAGCATGGAGAGTGACCCAGGCGTGGTGCTGCCCACTCTGACCTTATTTCTCCCTCCAGTGAGTCTGGAGTCCAAGTCCTCAGTGGCCAAGTTTCCGGTGACCATCCGCTATCCTGTCATACCCAAGTTATACGACCCTGGACCAGGTAAGGCCCTCGTTCCTGGGGCTCCATGCTGGGATCCCGTAGAGCTGTTGGTGAAGTTCAGAAGAGATCCCTTCTGAGATGGGAGAGGAGAAGTGAGGAAAACAACAGCTTTCGTGTGATTCCTGACAACAAGCTTTGTTTGAAGGAAAAGAATTCTAGGACACACTCTCTTAATATCTCTTATTTATATTTATTATATGGTTATACTTATTTTGAAAAAAACCTAATGATTATAACATTTTCATAAGTAATAATAATAAAAACAGAGTGGTACTGGAGCGTGAGTAGATATACCAATGGATACAAATTGGAAATCTGGAAATAGACGTGTTGGAATTCTACCATGTGATAAAGGTAGCTTTGCACATTAAAGAGAGAAAAGATGGATTATTCAAGAAATCTTGTGGGATAACTGTGTAGTTATGTGGAGGATAAAAAGGTGAATATTTCATAGTTCATGTCAAGATAAATTCCAAATAGATCAGATATCTAATTTTTTTTAAGTAATAGAAAAAGCCCATGAAGTTTAAAAACTAACCTTAGAGTATAAGACCTTTCTAAATATGGCACAAAACCCAGAGGCCATAAAGAAAAGACTGAAAACAGAAAACACATAAAATTTAAAAATATTTTGATGGCAGAAACCCACCATAAGCAAATGACAAAGGACAAATCCGGGAAAAATATCTCCCATACACATTCAAGCGAAAGGTCTAATTTTACTTGAGAGCACCTATGAATCAGTAGGAAAAAACACCTAATAAGCCAATGGAAAAATGCACAATTCACAAAAAGTTAAGTTCAACAATGCTTAACCATTAAAATACATTCTCAGGGGCTGGTCCGGTGGTGGAGCGGTTAAGTTTTCGCGTTCCGCTTAGGGGGCCTGGGGTTCACTGGTTTGGATCCGGGATGTGGACCTATGCTGTGGTAGGCGTCCCACACATAAAGTAGAGGAAGATTGGCACAGTGTTAGCTCAGGGCCAGTCTTCCTCAGCAAAAAGAGGAGGATTGGCTGCGCATGTCAGCTCAGGGATAGATGCTCAATCTCACACTAAGAAAAGTGCAAATGAAAACTACATTCATATCAAAAAGTATTGGGCGAGGACTGGGAATCCGGGCGTTCTTAGAAACCGCTGGTGGCAACGTAAAATTGGCACAACCTTGCTAATATCCATCCACATTTTAAGTGTGTATACCCTTTGGGCCAGCAATTCCACTTCCAGAAAGTATCCTACAGATGCATCTGTGTGAAATGATGTTTGTTCGAGGTTATTTGTTGCTGCATTGTTTGCAATGACAAAACCTTAAAAGTGGGATGCACTGGTTAGATCAAATGTGGTCCATCCATATAATGAAATTCCATGCAGTGGCATTCAGGAGGAGGAAGGAGGAAAGTTTTTTTATACTGATAAAAATGCTTTCCAAGATGTAAGCAAGGTACAGAAGAAAGTGAATAGTAAGCTACCATTTCTGTAAAAAGAGAGAGAGGGAAAAAAGAATGTGTGTACGTAATTGCTTGATTATGGAAAAATAAACAAGTTGGTAATATTGCTTACCTCCTGGGGGAAGATTTAACCTGAGCTAACATCTGTTGCCAATCTTCGGTTTTTTTTTTTTTTTTTGCTTGAGGAAGATTAGTCCGGAGCTAACATCTGCCACTTGGCCTTTTTTGAATGTATTACCTATATACTCAAAATATGATCTATTCAAATAGATTCTAGTCAAAATACAAATTAATTATTATTTAAAAGCAACAGCTTTAAATATCTATGGAGAAGGATTTAAAATTTTTGTTTAACATCATAACTATCTCAAAAATAAAAGTGCAAGAAATTAACCAAAAAACCTTTTTTTTAAACTTCAGATTTGTTTTAAAGATAAAGTGTTACAGACACAATGGAAATCTCCACAGTCTTATCCCCCTCTCTTCTTCCAGCAACTATGATCTTTCTTTTCCTGTTTTTGTACATGTAACATATAGATTCCTATTCCTACACACACACACACACACACACACACACACACAGCATACAGTGTGGTTTTATGCATTTTTGAACTTTTCATGAAAGTTGTCACACTGTATGGTATGAAGTTCTAGATTCTGACCTCTTGTCAGTCCATGGCTTGTCTTTTGATTTTGTTTTGAGGTCTTTTGTTATATGAAAGTTTTATCCTTTAATATAGTAAAATTGACTCATCGTCTTCTTTCTAGCTTTCGCTTTTTCTGCCTTGTTCAAGAAATTCTTCCCCACGTTGAAGCTGTAAGATATTCTGTATTTTTTTTTCCCAAAGTTGCATGTGTTGCTTTTCAGATTTAGCTATTTAATTCACCTAGAAGTTATTTTTATGTGCGGCAGATGGTGGGGGTCTAAGTTTTTGTATCTGAGTAGCATATTGTCCCAACACCTTATCTTGAATGGTCCATCCTCCTCCTCCCTGGCTTGGATTGCCACATCTGTCACACACCCAATCTATTCAGGGGTCTGAATATGGGCTTCTTGAGGTTGCATTGATCTCTTTGTCCTTGGGCTAATTCCGTAATGTTCCAATACGCTTTATAGTAGGTTTTATATCGGTGGAAGTAAATGCTATACTTCAGAATGACTGCGCTTCGTTGCAAAATTTTCTTAGCTCTTCTTGGTCTTTTCCTTTTCCATTAGAGTTTGAGGATCAGCTCATCGAGATCCGCTAAAATGCCTTGAGATTTGGATTAGAATTTCGTAGATTTTATAGATTAATTAGAGGTGAATCGACAACTTTATAAAGTTGAATATTCCCAACTATGAATCTGGTCTGTCTCTCCATATTGTAGTCCCCATGTTATAGTCTCTTCACAGGTTCTGCGATACTTTATTTTGTAGTTTTATTTGTAAAGGAATTGCACGTATTTTTTGGATTTAGTTTTAGGTACCTTATATTTTTTATTGTTATTATGAATTGGATCTTCTACATTTTAACTGGCTGTTGCTAGTATGTAGGACATTAGTGATTTTTGAACATCGAACTTATAAACAGCATCCTTGTTGCACTCATTTTAGTGATTATTTTTTTTAACATAGAGTTTCTTTCTTAGACAAATAATGATGATTTTTGTCTCTTCTCTTCCAATTCTCATAATTTGTTTCTTTTTCTTGTCTAACTGCATTTGGCTGAAATCTCCAGCACCGTGTTGAATAGTCGTAGCGGTAGCAAGCAGTTTTGCTTGTTCCCAACTTGAAGAAGATTCTAATGTTCCACCATTAGTGTTTGCTGGGTAGTAGTGTGGTAGAGGGATCAGAGTAAGAATGTTTCCTTCTTTCCTATTTTGATTGCTAAGAATTTTTCTATTTCTGCTTTCTATTTCATTGCTAAGAGTTTTTATTATGAATGAGTTTTGAATTTTATCAGGTAATTTGTCTGCATCTATTGAAATAATTTTTCTCTTTTAATTGGGTTTGTGTAGTGATTTACACTGATTGATTTTCTCCTGTTGAAATAGCCTTGCATTTCTGGAACAAACCCATCTTGATTGCAATGCATTATTTGATTAAATGCTGAATTAAATTTTCTGCTATTTTATTTAGGATTCTTGCCTCTATATTCAAAACTCAGACTATCTTTTCCTCTAAGGTCCTTGCCTTGTTTTGTTATCAATATTGTACAAGTCTCATAAAATGAGTTGGGTAGTTTTCCCTTTTTTTCTATTTTCTGAAATAAATTGTCATAAAAGAGGAGTTATATGTCCCTTGAAACTTATCTGGTCACTGTGTCTTTTCCATGTCTAAGTTGGGGGGGACGGGCTGAGGGGTTAGGGGTGCGAATGTGAATGAGGAGTGAGAGAAGGGGGACAAATTTTAAAATATCAATTCCATGTCTTTAATGCTTATTGATCTATACGTACATTGAGTCAACTTTTTAAATGTGTCTATAAAAGTATGCTTGATATAAAATTGTCATTTTTTTGTCATAAAGTTGTTCATAGCATTCTCTTATGCTTTTAAAAATATTTTAATATATCTGAAGTCATATCCCCCTTTTGGTTCTTAACATTTATCTTCAGTAATTTTTGGTTGTTTTCATATGCAAATATTCTTATTTCATTTATGCCTGTTTTTGTTTCATATTTCCTTTTTCACATGTGTGATTCTGTTATTTATGACTTTAAAGATTTTAAACATTCTCGTTTTAGATCCTTTTCAGATCTCTCTATTCTTTTCAGTCTGTCTGGAGCAGGTTCCTCTGCACCTGGTAGATGTGTTGGCTGTCACTCTTCATGCTAGTTTCCTTGGAGTGTTCTGGAATTTGGGGTGGTGAGCTCATCTTGAGGAGGAGCCTTTGCCTGCTTATTTGTTTCATTTCCTCCTCTCTCCGTCTCTCCCTCCCTTCTCCCTCTCATCTCACAGCATCCCACATTTGCTTCTATTCCCATTATTCCCAGATTCCTAGTCCATCCTTTTCTACTGGAGTCTTGGGGTTCCTGTCCCATGGTGATGCTGGCGTTATTGAAGAGCCAATTGCTGAGCCTGAGGGTGGCTTGGCACAGGCCCTGGCTGTGAGGAGGTGTCATCTCTGTTTGCACCCAGAGGTGTGTGCAGGGCTGACAGCTGTGTTGGGGTTCCCTGCCCAGCAGATGGTATTGGTGAGGGATGGAAGGAGCGTAACCTAGCTCCAATCCATGGCTTCCAGGAAAAATCCTGCCTCTCCACCCATGCTCCCATGAGACACTTTTATTCTGTTTCCCCTCGGAATCAGCCTCCTGGGCCCTGCTGCTGTGACCCCAGAATGCAGCAGCCTCAGCTTCTGCTCTGCTCACAGCTTTTTATTTCTGTTCCTTGGAAGAAACTTTGTCTGTGTTAGAGCATGGCTATATTTTTGCATTTTTCTTTTCATTGCTGTGTGTTTGGGAAAAGAAAAAGAAATCTCAAAGCAGAAAGCTACACCACCAGCTTGGCCAGGAATGGCCTACCTTGACCATATCCTGTGGTAATTCACACCCCTGGTTCTCTCTTTGCTGTAACAAAAGAACCAAACTTGTCACGTGGCCTAAGAAAGACAAGGAGGAGGGATTCAGTTGACATGCTCTTGAACACGATTTTCTTGACTCTTTCCACTGATATCTTTTCCCTGACTCCCTCAGACCCAGGAGGAGCCGGGTCAATGTGCAACATGTATGAAAAAGGGGGTTTTGGAATGACTTCTGATTTCTGACATTCTGAGAAAGTCACTCTGCAGGGGGTTATGCAGCACTCACCAACAAACAATAGGCAGGGTTGTGGCTTTTGGGGTGCCTTAACTCCAACTGACCCCCCCCCCCGACCCAGATAGCTCACATGCTCAGCCAGCTGGGTGCCTCCACATTCGGTGGCTCAACCCCAAACACACACCAGCAGCTCCTGTTGCTTCATCAGGGGGCTTTTCCCACAGAAGATCTGTCCCTTCTCCAACCTTTTGTATATATCACACAACTTAAGATGGACATTCTGGTCTGGGCCCTCCAATCTCCAGGTAGACCCCCTTCCACTCATGTCTTCTTGAAGATAAAGACCAAGTAGGTTTCTCTCTGTGAGTACAGCTGGTGACAGGGACAGGTCTAAAGTCCTTTAAGTCTCTTCTCCTCTTCCTGGGCCCAGAGACCCTCCATATTGAACCCCTTGATGGGCAAAGCTCTGTGCATCTCAACTCCTGGTATTAACATGGAGACAGGATGCAAGCAAAGTGCTGAGAAGCAAGCCTAGGATGAAGCATTCAAATAGACAGTAGAAAATGGCATCATGGAGCCAGAAGAAGAAACTCAAGAATAGAAAACATAAAATTTTAACCCATTGGGTATGTTTTAAATACGTTTATTTTCTAATCCAAATAACAAACTCTTATTAAACACCGACTGTACACAAGAGGCATGAGGCCCACAAACACTGAGAGGTCTTAGCGTAAAGAAACCACCAGAACAATATAAGACAGTGAGGCTTCCGGGAAGACAGTGCTCTGACATCTACCCTTTCTTGCCCAGAGAGGAAGCTCAGAGACCTGGTGACCATCGCCACCAAAACTTTCCTCCGTCCGCATAAGCTCATGACCCTGCTCCAGAGCATTCGTGAGTATTACCCAGACTTGACGGTGATCGTGGCTGACGACAGCAAAGAGCCCCTGAAAATTAATGACAACCACGTGGAGTATTACACCATGCCCTTTGGGAAGGTACGTCCCTCCCAGATGGGGAGACAGGGAGTCCCGGGACAAGAGAGCCCCAGAGTTAGCTTCTACCCTGGATGGGGCTGCCCCAGGGGCCTCCCTGGAAGCAGAGTCTTGGAGTGGGAGGGGTAGGACTCTCCTCTGAGTCTCCTTACTGACTCCCAGTTCACAGAAAAATCCAATTACTCTCTCTTTTCTGCATTAACGGGGTGGTTAATCTGCCTTTCCTCACACTTGATGTGGAAATGGAGCTCCTTCTAAGTGACTTGAAGTGTCTGACATCCTAAGGATTCCTGACAGGCAGATCCAACCCCAGAGAAACCTCTCATCCCTAGGATGGCACCCCAGCTGGAGCATCTCTGGAGCATCTCTCCTCTCTATCTCTGTCTCTCTCTCCCCCTGTATACCTTCCTTCAAGTGCGCACAGAAGGAAATGGATATTATACATACCGGGGGGTCCCACCCTCCAACACCTTCCAGGCAACATAAGGGGAAATGCAAGTGGAGCCACAGAGAGTCTGTCGGGAAAAAGGACTTTTGGACTTTTTGGTCCATGGACGATATGGACTGTTGATCCATATTTGCCATGGGGCCAAGGAAGGGCTTGCTAGCCTTACTTTGTCTCAATCTTTGATCCTGAGAGTCACTGTGCTTTTTCCGGTATCTCTTGAGATGTGGACTCCCTTTAACCCACTGGTTCTCAACCTCAGCCGTATATCGGACTCACCCCCACAGATTTGGACTTCAGTTGTCTGAGGTGCAGCCTGGCATTGGGAATTTAGAAAGCTCCCCAGATGATCATCCTAATATGTAGCCAACCGCTGATCTAACCTCATCCACCTACAGGGTTGGTTTGCTGGTAGGAACCTGGCCATATCTCAGGTCACCACCAAATATGTTCTCTGGGTGGACGATGACTTTCTCTTCAACAGCAAGACCAAGATTGAGGTGCTGGTGGATGTCCTGGAGAAAACTGAACTGGACGTGGTAAGGGGGTGTTGCCAGATTTACCCAGGATGCAATCTGCAGAGACAGCCAAGAGAGGGAAGGGGAGGGGCAGAGAAGAGAGGAATGTACGTGAGGGAAGAAGAGAAGAAGGGCAGCGGAGGGAGAGGGGCTGAGGGAGGAGATGAATAAGACAGAGTAGCACTGGCGTCGTGAGCATCACACAGGATCAGATGTGCATTTCTGCTTCTGCCTCCGTACTTACTTTTCTTCAAGCAAATTACACGCCCCTCCAAATTCACCGTTGTTCTATCTTGAAAATGGTATGTTTATGCCTCACCTCTAACTTCTTCCCCCGATTGGTGTGAGATGAAAGAGAGCAGTGCTCTGCTTCTGTCCCACACCATTAAAAAAAATGTAAATGGCACAAAATCTTAAAAGCACACATGGCCCTAATGACGTTAAAAAGAAAACAAGGAAAGAAAAGAAGAGAAACATCAAAAGTCAATTCACATATAGAAAAGAGAAGAAAAAGGTGATAGCTAATAAGGCAAGTGGAGAAATTTAGTCTTTAGTTGGACAGTTAGCTATGTCTTAATTTAGCCCACTTAAAACTTAGAGGGTTCATCTACTAAAAGGAAGAAAGAAACAACCAATGATGGGGGACAAGGAGATTTTACTGTGCCACCGAGAGGATTATGACGGTTCAGGCAGAGATGGACTTGCCCCTCCTGTTTCGCTCGGGCTCAAACATACAAATGCGCGTATTTTCCATGAGTGCGTGGACAGGCAGCTCAGAGAAGTGGGCCAGGAGTGGAGAATGGGAGGAAGACAGCTTGAGACAAACTGCTTGCTGCAAGAAGCTGGCAGTGGAGACACCACACACACACCACTGCACACGCAGGCTGCTTCTTGTCTGCACTCACATTCCGCTCCTAACGGAAGAGAGTGAGTTGCCTTCTTCTGGAAAAAGTAGGGTAAGCAGAACAGAGAAGTCGTCTGCCATTTAGACTTAGTGTAAGTGCTTGCTGCTCCCGCCAAGGAGATTTTCTGGGGTAAGCAGAAAGGAAAAGATCCGAAGGAGCCAGCAGTAGTATGCCGAAGGCTGTGACTGCAACAGCAAAAAAGAGGAACTGAGGGATAGTCTGAAGAGTAGACAGAGAAAGGGTGTGATTCTGGTTATAACTGAGGTTCAGTCCAGTAAGGCTTCCTGGCAGAGGCAACATGGCTATTGAATTTGTGTTCTCTAACATGGATTTCTCTGCCCACTGGCTAGGTAGGTGGCAGTGTGCTTGGAAACGTGTTCCAGTTTAAGTTGTTGCTGGAGCAGGGCGAGAATGGGGACTGTCTTCACCGGAGGTCAGGATTTTTCGGACCCGTGGATGGCTTCCCCAGCTGCGTGGTGACCAGTGGCGTTGTCAACTTCTTTCTGGCCCACACAGAGCGACTCCAAAGAGTTGGCTTTGACCCCCGCTTACAACGAGTGGCTCATGCAGGTGGGGAGCGGGTGTGTTGTCAACTAGAGTCAGAAGATTGTTCTTTCCAAAGGCCATGCACCCCTGATGGTGGTTGCTCACCAGGCCACAGGGGGTTTCCTTCCCCTCTCACCCCAGACTAGGGCTCATGGTCTCTCTTGCCTCCTTCCACCCTCTCTTTGACTTCCTGTCTCTCTATAGGCTGTAGCTGCCTATCTGAGACACCCTTCCCCAACCTTTCCCCACAGCTCTGTCCTCTCCCTCTTTTCCCACCCTGCTTCCTATTCTCATTTTCCAGAAATCTTTTCCTATTTAACTGCAACTGGTTAACTGTCCTCTCTCTTTCTCCTCCTATACCCTCAGTCCTGGAGTCCACAGATCTGTCCAGCTGGAAGGCTAACCTGTGTCTCTCTGCCCATATCTCTGTCTGAGAAATGAGCTTATTTATGTCCTTCCAACTCATCAGCCTGGGCAAGCGGCTTTGCATGGCACTTAACCTCCCCAGGGGTATAAACAGTGTCGCCTTCCCCGAACTCTCCTCTCAGTCCTGGGATGTGACCCTGGGTCTCTGGCTGCAGCTCACATTTCCCTCTTGTGCTTTCCTTCTCTTGGCAGAGTTCTTTATTGATGGGCTTGGGAGCCTGCTCGTGGGGTCATGCCCACAGGTAATAGTGGGTCACCAGTCACGTGCTCCAGCGGCGGACCAGGAGCTGGCCTCCCTGGAGAAGATGTACAGCACATACCGGGCCAACACCAAAGCCCAGGTCCAGTTCAAGCTGGCTCTCCACTACTTCAAGAACCATCTCCAGTGCTCTACGTAAAGGTGCCCAGGCATGGGGAAAGCACTGCACTGACAGGTTGTGGAACTGGTAGTTGGGCTATCAAAAAATGGACTCCTGATAAGAGGAACGTTGCAATGAACCATCTAGTGGGTAGGGCAAATGGGTTTAGTTTCTGAAAGTACCAATCTAAGGCTCAGGGTTATTAAAAATAGACCAATCACTGATTGGGGCAATGGAGACTGTGTCATTATCTGTATGATGGCTTCCCATTTATGAAGCATTTGCAAATACAGTATTCACATCATCTCATTTGATTTCACACAAAAGGGCGTATGATGTGTTGGTATCCTCAGTCAAAGGAGTGGCTGTTGGGTCCTTGAGGGGCTTTAGTGGAAATGATGTCACAGTCAGAAGCATCATCTCTGGCATCACTGTCTTCCATAAATTTTTATTTGCTCATACTTTGTGGACTCAAATAATGTGACTAACCCAGGGTCCTTGCCTTGAGAAGGTTGCAGCCTGGTTCAGCTCAGTCCATGAGCAGAACTGGGCAGCCAGAGTCAGAGGATCAGAGGGGGGAGAAGGCAGCGGAGGAAGGTTCTGTGGAATAGTCTCATCTAGAGCCTGGAAGATGGATGGGATTCAGGCAGCGGAGGGAGGGAGGAAGGAGAGCACTGGGGTAGTCCACTGTCTGCCAGAAAAAGATTTCTCTGGCATCAGACTTGCTACCACGAAGACGCATTCCAGAGGGCCAGGGGTTGGACTTGGAGACCCTGTGCTACGGTGCCATGATACGCCATTGAATTCCAGAGACTTGAGACCAGTGACTGACCACGCAAGACCCATGTCCTCTACAGAGGGGAGCCATCACAGGTTGTCGAGGAAGGTCGTCTCTGTCATCTTGGAAGGCAGTAGATTCTACAGTTACTGCGCTAGCCTTTGTGGTTTCCACTCTTTCTTACCAAAGATGGCCTGGGGTAGTTCAGGATCTCTGAAAACGTGTGTGTGAGATTTTAATAAAACTTCATGAAAAACATTTTGGTAGTCAAGTAATTTTGAAAAGTACTGCATGCTGTATCTCCCTCTTGGAAAATTGCAATTCACATTCACATATTAAAGGCTCTGAGAAGTCCTGCAGTAAGGGAATTAGTTTAATTTTGTTTAATTCAGCATTTCTCAGATATGGATACAGATCGGCAATCATCTTCTGTTCTCCCAAACCATAATTGAACACATATCTCATTCCATTGTGTATGTCATAAAGATTCTATCACAAAAGCTTTTACAGCTTTAAATAACATGCACAATCATTTCGTTCAATAGGACGTGCCTTTTGTGTACTATAACATAGCTATGCAGGAAGATGATGTTGGATTGTCCCATCCAGTACTGCCCTTAGACCCAGGCAGGAAGAGCCCCTGAAGAGGCTTCAGAAGAGCTTCAGAGAACCCTGAATATCACAAACACGTTTGCTTACGATGAGCATCTGAACATCTCTGTCAGTCAGGATCCAGGGCTCAGCGCTGGCACAGCATAACCTGTGACCCTAAATATCTACTCTGGGGACTAACACTGTTCAGGCCCCAGGGAAACACTTCTCCACACCTCTTGCCTTATGTCTTCAAAACAAAAGACAGCCACGTCCAAATGCACTGAAAGTTTGTGGACAATACTTCGGAGTACAGGTGAGATTTGCGCTGCAGAGTGCTTAGGTAAAAGAAAAAGACGAAACTTTTCATTTATTAAACGCTTCCTCTCAGATCACGTAAACAGCGGTAGTGTCTTGCCTGTTACCTAGTGTCTGTTTTCCTGCCTTTCAACTCATGGTTCTGGAAGTACTAGACATTTAGTGTGGTGTTCACAGGCTTAAGAACACTTAAAAATAGTAACAATTTGTATTACTTTTTAGTGTTTCTGTATGTCGTTGTAGCTGTATCAGGCTTGAAGTGTGATGCGGATTCTTTACCTTGGCAATTAGGTAGTTAGTGAAAGCTAAGATTGCAGTCATTGTATTTTTATAAAAATATTTAATGACAAATTTTCAAAAGTTAAATTTAAAACAACTAAACATTTGATTTTTAAATGTGATTTTTCTTCATTATAACTTTCATTTTGTCTTTTAATCTTCGTAGATAAGTTTAGCTATTTTGAAAGAAAAATAACTTCTGAAGACATGAAAAATAATTTTAATTTTTATAATTTTTGGCAAATCTTACACTTGCTTCAATTTACCCTTGGAAGTAAATTTTGTACACTGTGAACACAATCACACTTTATTCATTGATTCTTTAGATTATGACTACTCAGTGTGCTGGTGCACAAAGAGGTAAGGAGCATGCGTCCCAGTGTAATCAGCTTCTGCTTCCTTCATTGAGGAAGGCTTGCCGTGAAAGCACGCCCGCTCGGCTACAACAGTGCGCTGAGGGGCGGAGGTGAGTTTGATTTTGGCGCGGCTCCTTGTCTCGCTGAAGACTGGAAACAAAGAGTTCATGGACTGGACCGGACCTCAGAGGATGCTTGGAGTAGCAATACGTTAGATCAGGAGTCAGCAAACATTTTTGTAAGGGACCAGATAGTAAATATTTTAGGCTTTGTGGGCCACTTAAGGTCTCTGTCAGATATTCTTTCTCTTTTTTTAAATAACCCTTTAAAAATGTAAAAACCATTCTGAGCTTGTGGGGCCATTCGAAACCCAAGTCACAGGTTGCATTTGGTCTCCGGGCTGTAGTTTGTTGACAGATTAATACTGTCATTGGCTACAAATTATATGAAAAATATCAATTATAAAAACATAATTAGTGATTTTGCTGAAACAAAAGCAAGAAAATCAAACTGTGTGGAATAGATGGATGATAAATTATGAATTTATATATCTTTGTTCTTATCTAAACATCACCAACGCATCAACTAATCAACCAGACACGCACAATAATTATTAAATTCCTTTGCTTTGGTACGTTGCCTACTTTTAGTCATACCAAAACCAAGCTTTAGGATATTTTCGATTTTGCCTTTTCAAGGTAAGAGGATAGAACATTTATTTTGACAGTTTGCTAGCTTCAGTTATCATAGCTTTTAAATATTTAAAAATAATTAAAACAGGGTGAATCTGGTAGTGCGGCAGTTAAGTTCACACATTTTGCTTTGGTGGCCCGGGGTTCGCTGGTTCGGATCCCGGGTGTGAACATGGCACTGCTTGGCAAGCCATGCTGAGGCAGCGTCCCACATATAAAGTAGAGGAAGATGGGCATGGATGTTAGCTCAGGGCCAGTCTTCCTCAGCAAAAAGAGGAGATTGGCGGCAGATGTTATCTCAGAGCTAATCTTCCTCAAAAAAAAAAAAAGTAAAAAATAATTAAAACAAATTAAATATCTGGACAGATACTTTTGTATGTTTGTCCCTGGCCAGGTTCCACAAAAATGTCTGCCTTTCTGATTAATTCCTTGCATCCTGCATCTAGGGGGTTAGAGCTGGGCCCTTTCACGGCAATTACAGCGTTCTGCAACATCCCCCGGCAGGGACCATCTGACCTGCTGTAGTTATCGTCAGTCTGTTCCAGACACATCCCCTTCCCTGTCCCAGGATCTGGAGCCTTCTCCTCCAATAGGAAGGAGTAGTTAAAATGGAGCTTTTCTAGGGTGTTTGCCTAAACTGTGAGCCAATTCTCCAGGAATTCTCCAGAAATTCGTCAATTACCCTGAAAGTATGTGTGCCTCTCCCTGGTCAAAATGTATTAGACCAAGAGAGGCAGGCTCCTGAGCCAACGGCCCATCAGATCGTCTGTCTCGGGGTTTGAATTGGGGCTGAAAAACATCGAGGCAGGCTCTGTGCACGGTGGGACCTCAGACATCACACAGGAGCAGAGCTGCCCCTTTATGTTATGCTAAAGAGCAGAGAAGGTCAGTCTGCAGCTACAAAAGAATTCAACATGTGCACCAAGAGGAGCTGAAATGAGAGACTCCTGACAGCCTTCTGGTTCTTTCCTGGGGTCTGGCTACAGTCCTGCCCTGGGGTTTTGTGAAACGGTATACCCTTATAATTTTCCCTTTTTACTTAACCTAATTTGAGTTGGTTCATGTGACTTAGAACCAAAGTGTCCTAAATAATGCAAGCACTCTGTGGGTCTGGGTGTTTTCAAAACAGAAAGGCATAAATAAAAGGTTTTCTCCTTGGGTGGTTTGGAAGCAAAAATCAGGTCACAGACAGTAACGGCCACACAGGCCTCTCTCCAGCCTTGAATTTCAGACACAACCAAGCAGCCTGGACCAAACCAATGACAAAGGTATCCTTCCAGGACAGTGATGGTTCCTTGGTACTTCCTACGGAACCCTCAAGTCCAGGACAGGTTGGTGCAAATAATTGTGTGAGCCTCTAGGGGGAGCTCAGGCCTCCTCTCTCTGTTTCCCCTCGCTTATTCCTCACCCCCTGCTCAGCAAAGGACAACTGATACCATGACTTTCAGAAAAGAGGAATCTTATTGGCTACTGGTCAAGTGGCCTTTTACTGGCATGCCTGGGGGTGTCTCATGTGGCTGAAGTGGAAATGGGACCGGGGTCTGCTTCCTTCCGGGTATTCTCTCTTCCACCCTTAGGATAGACCAAAAATTTGCATAAGCCACTACACAAAGTGTACCTATTAGAGTGTTTTTGCTTGTAAGTACCGGAAGCTTGACCCAAACTGTCTTAAACTATCTCATATAGCCAAGCCCAGAGGCGGGGCACATGGCAGGGGTCCTACGATGCCCAGGAATATTTATTCCAACAGGCTTGGCCTCCCTGGCAGTGGACAGGGCGCCTTGGTTAGCCCACCCGGCAGCTCCAGCTTCTCCTCTCTAGGGGGAGTCCCTTGTCTATTATCTTCTAGGTCCTCATTTGAGCAAGCATTGGGCAGGCTGACCTTTCTGAGGCCTACACAACTTTAACTGCCCACTTCCTGTTAGTGCTGTTCCCCAGCCCAGGGCAGGCCGTAGGAGTTAAAATTCACTAGCTGTTATCAGTCAGATTTTAAAGGAAACTGAATTGCCAATGAGATCCCTAAAACTTACAGGTTTTCTGTCATTTCCAGTCAGTTCCAGACATCTTGTCTAGACACAGTCTTTGAGACTGGGAAATCCATTCTGGCAACCACAGACTTCTACACTTTGCCTATCCTCTGGCACTCAGTGAAATGGCATCTGCCTTGAGGCTATTCAGAATAGCGGGCTAAGGTACAGAGAGACCATCTATAATCGGTTCTTTGCCCCTAGGGCTTTCCTCCTCATGGGTGGAAAGTATTTAAAGCATCGCAGTGGAGTAGGCTGGTCTTTCGCTCAGAATGGTCCCCTGTTATGTTTCCCATCCCTGCTTGTGCTTTCTCTTGGGGCAGAGAATTCAGCTTTTCCAGCCCCGCAAGCCTCTGAATTATAGGACTTTTGGTAAACTTGGATTGCAAGCCACTCTTTTGCAACCATATGACCGGCTTTAAAATAGGGCGCCTTCAACCGAAAACTTGTCTCTCTTATAGGGCCATCCTAAGGATGGCATGAAGTCACCAACACATGCCAACATCCTGACTTTTCCCCACCATTTCTCATTCTTGATAGTCTACTGTCTTGATGGACCACAATCTTGTGTTCCAGACACCAGAATCAGTTTCAGAATCATCAGCCTCTCAGGAGGTCATTGCTGTCTATCCCATCTCTTCTGTTCAGCCCTCCATCTAATGACCTTCACAGAGGATTCAAATCTATATGCGGCTCTTCGTTTTCTTAATCCTTTGCCTAAATGCTCAAGCCACCTTTATGCCTTTCGGCATCTTTACTCTGGCTTCAAACAAGTCTCCCATATAAAATCTACATCTCTCATCCCACTTTAAATTTTACCAAGGGGCTGGCCCCATGGCCAAGTGGTTAAGTTCGTGTGCTTTGCTATGGTGGCCCAGGGTTTCTCTGGTTCGGATCCTGGGCACGGACATGGCACTGCTATCAAGCCATGCTGAGGTGGCGTCCCACATGCCACAACTAGAAGGACCTACAACTAAAATATACAACTATGTACC